GTCTTCACACTTCTACCTCTTCATGGAGTCTTTAATGGGTCCTGTCTGGCTGCTTCCCCTTACCTCTCCTCACACACATACACACGGCAGTTTCATGGGACTGCTGTTTAGCTGCTACACTCTCCCCCCTCCAAATCGTATCTGATCGCCTGGGGCATGGACAGGTCTGCTGAGAGCAATTACAGGCCCCAGGGCCGAACAGTCAGTTGTGCCAAGCCGTGCCAATGTTGAGGCGCTCGACCAGACAGTTGGGCAGATGCACCTGCACTAGCTGGTGCCCAGGGAGCTGCTGCATGTTCAGGGCTTTCAAACACCCCGTAGTAGTGTTGCCAACTGTCTAATTGTGCATATCCAAAGACTCTTGCGCTACCCTTTCCTGAGGCCATGTCTCTGTCCTGCCCTTTCTCAGAGGCCCGACCCCTTGCTCATTCCATCCCCCCTCCCTCCGTGGCTTCTCACCCCGCTCACTGATGTTCACCAGGCTGGAACAGAGGGCAGGAGGGGTGGAGCTGGGCTGTGGGAGGGAGTTTGGATGTTGGAGAAGGTGCATGGTGCCAGCTGTGAGAGGAAGTTTGAGTCCTGGGTCTGGGCTGGTGCAGGAGGTTGGGATTGGCGGGCAGGGGGCAGGAGATTGGCACTTACCTCAGGCGACTCCCAAAAGTGACCAAAAAACCCTTCTGGCAGTGACTCCTAGCTGCAGGGGGAGGAATGGGAGGTCTCCACTAGCTGCTGCCTGCAGGCACCACCCCCACAGCCACAGTTCCCAGCATGCGGAGATTCCCTTTCCCTCCTCTCCCAGGGCAGCAGAGGCACCAGTGCTGGCCACTTCGGGGAGCAGTGCGGAGTGAGGATGGGCAGGAAGCTTTGCCTTAGTCCTGCTGGGCTACCCCTGCAGTGATCAGAGAGCTCTGGGCCCTTTTAAATCACCGGGCCACTGTGCAGTTGCCCCCTACCTCCTCTCTTACCCTTCCCCATCTTCAAGCCTGGGCATGTTAGCTGATCCAAACCACCTCCAATATATGGCAGGAAGGAATGATACAGTCTGCGGTCTATTGGCTGCGCTACAAATCCCACCACTTCCATTAGCCTGACATGGAGGCTGTTTCAGTCAAAGAGGTCAGGCTCCAAATGCTTTGCCTGGCTGGAGCAGAAGCTATTTATCCTAGGTAGGATGCAAAGCCACAGTCCTTCACACTTCCTGGACGGCTGTTGCAAGACAAATGGAATCCAGGTGTTAAAAGACGAGGAATTGAATTCCAGTGGGTTTTTTTAATGTGTTATTTGGAAACTGAGATCATGGTGGGGGGGGGGTTTTAAAAATGCAGTATTTTTTTAAAGCTTCCAGTAGATACTAGATTTCTAGGACACCTACAGGACCTGATTCTTTACTCTCACAGAATTTAACACTGGAGTAACTCCATTGATTTCAGTGGGTTACTCCAGTTTTGAATCAGTGTAAATGAGAAGAGAATCAGATGCTCTTGTGTTGCACAAGAGGGCCTGAGGTCTTTTTAATCAGCTTCTAGATTGGCGATCTGAGCTTCTTGTTTGGAGAGAATGTTTAATATTCTCTTTTACTGAGGTGTGCTGCATGTTGGCTACATTTGGAAGACATGAGTCATAACCACTTTGGAAACATGAATTTTCCCCCTGGTTAATGCTATTCATATTTAATATACCTAACTCTTTTGCTGATGAAAGTCTACATTTTAATAAATACTGAAATTAAACACATAGCCACAGGTATAGGCCATTTTTCTTCCAAGTTTCTAAACTGATTAAATTAAATTATTATTTTTTTAATAATTGCTAAGGGCTCATTCATATTACAAACCTTATGGAAATACTTCTTACTCACACAAGTCCTAGTCACCTCCAGGTATCTATTCCTGTAAGTAAAATTTACTCACTTGAATCTAGTTTGGAGACTTGGGCCCAAAGACAGTCATTTCATAATAGCATAAACGCGTAGGCCCTTAGAGTGTCAGACTAATTTAGTGACCATTAAGAACACTAAAAACAATGCCCTGGAGCAATTTTAATAGTTGCAGTGTATCACAAGTATGCTCCCAGCTCCTCAGACATCACCTCTTTTGAGAAGAGACCTATATCTTTCTCCCTGGTGATGAAGTGTTTTACCAGGCTGCATAACTGCCCTACGTCTGCACTTTGCTTTCTCCTCAAAGGCTATAAACAGAGTAATTGTCCACAATTATAGGTTACTATACAGTTCTTTCTAAGCATGTGCATTTGTGAGAGAATTACAGAAAAAAATGTATTAAAACCCCCTAAAAGTACCTATACACAAGCTAATAGGTTTATCAGAGTTCACCCCTCAACTCCAACAAGAACTCAGGCAAGTGATCCATCTTTTGAATTCCACCAAGCGGTTTTCCTGTGCTTAAAAGTTCATAACAGCTGCTGGCTCAGAACAATCACCTGCTTGAATCTGAGATTGACTCCTTTGTAGATATCATTCTGGCCTTTGATCTTTAGATTCCAGTAACAGATAATCAGCAGACAAGGATGCTTAGGGTGTAGTTTCAAAAACCTGAGGTTTTGTATGTTCAAAGGTGATACCTTTGCACACACTAGAGATTTCCTGAAACGCACTTTATTTCGTCCCAAAAATTCATTCTGGTCTGTCACTTTGTTTCAAATAGTCCTTTGGAGCTCACAATCCTTCCCAGGGTTTGCGTTGGCCACATCATCGTTGTTGTCCCCCGACCCCGAGGAGTTATTTACAAATCTTATCATAACACAGCAACTTTGTATTTATAATACAATGGACTCCAAAGCTATGTAAGCTTAATTCAAAAAGATTTCCCAAAGATATTGCTGAAAATGGCCATATCTATCATATAAACTTTTATATGCATTCCTTTTGTAAAAAACTAGATTCAGGGGAAACAATTCAATTAAAAAGGAAATTATAGTATAAGAACCTTCATTTTCACAAACAGCTTTGACGTAATGGGTGGTGGTGGTAGTAGTAGTATTGTATTAATAATAATTAATAATATGAAATCTGCACATATCCAAGGGTCTTAATCCAGGAAAACAACTAAGATTGTACACATAAGTAGTTCTATCAAAGTCAATGGAGCTTTTCAGTTTGCTAGTTAAACACATGTTTAAATGCTTTCCAAGATCAGGGTCTTAATCAACATTCAGTGGTTTCAGATGTATTTTGCCCATAAAGTGTATATTCAACCAATAGTAGTGCTTCTGTTGTTTCACAGATTGGGTACGATGGAGGTGGAGTACTTTGTGAAGTTTAGATGAATAACTTATCTTGATCTTGTATTTGAAGTACACTTTGTCAATAATCACAGGCAGTATTATTGGATTCATACAGCAATCTGATGAGAAGGAAG